AGACCTGGGGGCAATACTATCATCACAAGTGATGTTTCAAGCCAGAGACCAAGGTGTACCTTTTAACTGACATTTATCTAGAAGTTGGTATGTGCTAAATACGTGGATGTGCCTGTGCTTATCTGTGCAGAGGTGTGTGTGTGTGTGTGTGTGTGTGTGTGTGTGTGTGTGTGTGTGTGTTGTGGGATATTTGATTGCACTGTGAAACCTGATACTGTGTTAATAAATCAACCTTGGATCAGGGTGTGGAGCCAGCAACTAGTTAACAGGAATTAGCATAGGGAGGGTGAAGAAGTCAGGAAGATGGATAGGGAGAAGCACAGGAAGGAGAAGGGAGTGACTTGGAGATGAGAGGTCTTTTTTGGTTTGGGATGACTGGAGAGACACACTCTTGCTGGGTCTCTGGCCAAAATGGAAGGTTAACTGGTTGCTTCTCAGTCTCTCTGAGCTAGTAGGTTTTCACCCCAATATCTGACTCTTGAGTCTTTATTGGGAGTAGAACAAGACTTAGTTAAAACTACATTTGGCAGCATCAGCTGAACCAGAAGTCTTGCCAGACTGTGGCCTGAATGGTGGGGCTCTGACTGTACGGCCTTGAGACTTTGGAAGGTAGTTAAAATATCAGTAGATTGAGGTGTGTGTGTGTGTGTGTGTGTGTGTGTGTGTGTGTGTGTGTGTTTGCATAGGAAGGCCTGAGGTCAATGCTGGGTGTCTTTCTTACTCACCGTTCGTTCACATTGTTTTTCAGATAGGGTTTCTCACTGAACCTGACGCTCACCAGTTTGGCTAGACTGGCTGTCCCCAGGGACCTGCCTGTCTTTTCCTTTTCATCAGGGAGAAGTAAGAGTGAGAACTTAATCCGCACCCACTTTATTGTAGGCATGTCCTGCCACACCTGACTTTAGTGTGGGTACAAGGAATCCAAACTCATGTCCTCATGCTGGAGAGGCAAGCACTTTATTGACTTACCCATCCCCTGGGCCCTGCCCTCACTGGTTGGTTGTCTGCTTGGTATGAGACAGGGTCAGGTGAAGTCAGTGCTGAGTTCCATTTGTAGATTTGAGCCTGCACTTGAACTTGGTACCTCCCTTCCTCCACTTCCCAATTGCCAGATTTGTAAATCTTGTGCCACCATGGATGGCTCATCCTTGCCCCTTTTAACCCCTGCATCTTGAACTAAGAGTTCAAGGTCCCAATCCCTTGGACTGAGACAAGTAAGACTCGCTGTTACAATGACTGAGGGTTTAGACACCCTGAGGTGAGCTCTGTAACACTTTTGAGGATACCTAGGATTGAGGGTCCCAGCCCCCCTGTGCCAATGGCTTCTCCTTACCTACTCAATTTCCATCTAGGTAAAAAAAAAAAAAAAAAAAAAAAAAAAAAAAAAAAAAAGCCCCTCTCTGTTATTTCCTGAGCCATCTTGTGCAGCCACCTTTTATTTCCCTTGGATATAGCTTAGTCCAGCACCCCATATGCTTGTCCTGTAAACTAAGGTGAGGGATTTCTGTCATCACTAATGTTTATGTGTGCCATCGGCAGGGTGTACCAACCTCAAATCTTAGAACCGCGGCATTAGGCAGAGACCTGGGCCTGATGTTGGGTGCAACTGGCCCTTTGGGAAGTTACATGATGTGTTCAGTTTCCTCTGATGTAAGGTTAGCCACTCCACCATTTCCTCTTCAGTGCCCGTCTTTTTAATACCCTGTCTATGCCTGGCCCATGGTTGATGCCTACAAGATGCTGACTAATAAAGGATGTCTTAGAGGTGAGGCATTCACAGAGGAAGGAAATATGAGCATAGTGAAGGCCTCAAAGCAAGATGACAGCATTCTGCACTCATTAGCAATGAATCTTGGACAAGGCACCTAACCTCTCCATTTGCAGCTTCTTCATAGAGTGGTACCTCATAAGATTGCATGAAGATTAAATGAGTTGGGGTGTTTAAAGCCCATAGAGCAGCTGCCATATGCAACTCATTCAGTAAATATTAGCCATTATTATAAGTAAAAAGGAAATAGTATGGTGAGAGGTGGAAGGAAGGAATGGGAAGAGAGGAGGGAGGGGAAACTGTGGTCAGGATGTAAAATAAATGAATAAATTTAATTATTAATAACAAAAATATGAAATCCCCATTAAAATTGAAAAAAGAAAACAAAAGAATTGCCCAAAGACCAAATAAGGAAAACACTGTTTATAAACTATTTCACTATCTGGTGTTTTATTTTTATATGTATGGGTGTTTCACCTGCCTGTATGTCTGTGTACCACATGCATTTCTGGTGCTAAAGGAGGTCAGAAGAGGGCATCAGATCTCGTGGAACTGAAGTTACAGTTAGAACCTATAGTGTGAGTGCTGGAACCCTCTGAAGGGACAAGTTTTTGTTGTTGTTTGGTTTTAGTTTTGTTTTAGGTTTTTTATTTTTTTGAGACAAGGTTTCTCCATGTAGTCCTGGCTGTCCTGGAACTTGACCTGTAGATCAACCTGGCCTTGAACTTGAGGATTAAAGGATTAAAGTATATTATTAAATGATAGGATTAAGCCTGGCATTGGTGGGTCACGCCTTTAATCCCAGCACTCAGGAGGCAGAGGCAGGTGGATCTCTGTGAGTTAGAGGCCAGCCTGGTCTACAGAACTAGTTCCTGGACAGGCTCCAAAGCTACACAGAGAAACCCTGTCTCGAAACAAAACAAAACAATTATAGGATTAAAGGTGTGTGCCACCACTACTGGGCTGCAACAAGTATTCTAAATCACTGCTCCGTGTTTCCAGCCCCTTTTGCTTTTGAGAGACAGGATCTCAAGTAGCCCAGACTGGTCGTGACCTCACTGTGCACCATGGCTGTTCGTAGAGTCCTGATTCTCCTGCCTGTGCCTCTCAAGCACTCAGATTGCAAGTGTGTTCTACCATGCCCAGAATGCCACTATCATTCTTAAAATATCAGTAAGAGCTGGGGTGCATCTCATTACTTGCCTAGTGTATGCAAATTTTCATTCCTAGCACTTGAGAACAGTACTAGCCAATCCACTAACTTAAATATCTACAAGCTGCACAGCATATTGCCATTGATTTTGGAGCAAATGAGGTATGAGTGTGATGTTGGTTTTGTAAATGATGACAAACTAAATAATGGTTGAATCAAGAGGTCATTTTCTCGCCTCAAATAGTCCTGCTCATCAGAGTCTGCCTCATTCTGGGGTTCAGTGCATGGGAGGGGAACACTCTGAAAGTGCCATGGCAGAGGTTTGTGACAGGCAAAGCTAGGCTTGCCTCTGGCTTATAGAAGAATCACCATCTCCTCAGAGTGCAAACTTATAGAGAAAGTAGGTTTGAAATGCAGCTCAGTGGTGTAGCATTTATCTAGCCTCTTGAGACCCTGGGTTCCAACTCCAGCACTGGAAAACAATAAAGCCCAAAACCAAACAGACAAAAATAGTCACCAATTTGGAAATAAGAATGGACCGTCTGGTCAGGCGATGGTGGTGCATGCCTTTAATCCCAGCACTCAGGAGGCAAGGGCAGTCAGATCTCTGAGTTCGAGGCTAGCCTGGTCCAGGACTGGCTCTAAAGCAATACAGAGAAACCCTGTCTTGAAAAATAAAAAATAAATGGAGCCCATTTTACATGTGCACATGGGAAAACTGAAGAACAGAAGGAAAGGGACACATTTAAGAGTTTCAAAGTAAGGTTCTCTTGCAGCAGGAATGCGGATCTACGGAGCCATAGTTCTTGCCCCTTCCACAGCAGTTGTCCTCTCCATATTCAATGCTATTTCCCAGTTGGGAGCCCCAAGTGCTTAAGTGTTGAGCTGAGGAGGTACAGTGATCAGTCTAGGCCAGAGTGTCACTGCTGGAAAGTGTCACTTCACTTTGTCTGCACAAGGAGGTAGACATTGTGACCACAGGTAACTTTCAGACAGTAATGTCTAGAGTCAAATGGGTCAAGAGCCAGCCATGATGGGTTAGGATGGAGGCAGGAGGGATGGAGGCCACTTTCTGGTTCCAAAGCCCGGGATCTTTCCTGAAGCTCCTACTTCTGGAGCCCAGGTTACTGCAAAGTTTAGGTGGTATGCTGGCTATAAACACAAGCAAACAGACCTCAGTAACAGGTGAGTCTGTGTCTGTAGTTGTTTCATGGTACAGCTAGGTGCAGAGGTGGGTGATCTGGCATACTGTCTTTTGTAAATGCCACCTATTTTGCAAATATCTAGCCAATTGTATACTTTATTTATTCATTGCTTTTTTGAAATTGGGGTTTCATGTATCCCCAATCAGGCCTTGAATTTGCTATATAGTTGAAAATTAGCTTAAATTTCTGATCCTCTGGGCTCCATCCCTAGAGTATTATATTAGGCTTGCAGACATGAGCATAGGGTGGAAAGTGAACCCCTACTGGGACCAATAGGGTCAACTCCCAGTCCCTGATACTCCTCCTCAACTTCTCTGTGGCTCTATCCCCATGTCTTTTTGTCTCCTAGGTGTGCTGAACATATCTTCACTCCCTCATATTCAGGAACTTAAAATTTTTGTTTTAAACAAGATTGTGTGTGTGTGTGTGTGTGTGTTTTGCCTGCATGTATGTCTGTGCATCATATTCGTGCAGTATCCACAGAGGCCAGAGAGGGCACCGGATATTATTCTGGAACTGGAATTACACAGTTGGTAGCAGACAAGTGCTTGCTCAAACCCTAGCTAGTCCTTTGGAAGAGCAGCCAGTACTGTTAATCACTGATCCATCCTCAAAATGTTTCAGGAACTTTTTAATGTCTCTGAATATAAAGTTAACGTTGCACCTACAGTGTTTAAGGGTGGGTGAAGGACAAGTTGCAGGTTTCCCAAATGCTAGATATTGCTAGGACCAGAGACAACTTCGCAGTTGCAAGGCTCCGCCTCCTCCTCCCGGGCCCGCCTCATTGAAATTGCGCCTGCGCGAAATTCCCTGCCTTCCAGTTCAACTCTGCTCTTTCCTGGTTAGCTCGACAACTCGGTTCTCGACCGCGGTGTGTCAGTCTGCCTTCCGGTTTCCCCCTGGTACGCCTGCCGAGCGCCGAGCCACCGATAGCGATGGCTGCCATGAGTCTCTGAGGAATCCCGGAGTCCCGGAGTCGCGGCCGGAGGTCGAGATTAGACTGCCGGCAGCGTTTCGGAAACCGCAGAGCCTGAGGGAGGGCGTCGGCCAGCTCGGAGCCGCCGCCAAGAACGCGGCGGTGGCTGAGGTGGGTGTGACTTGTGGTTTGAGGCGACGAGGCTGGGAGATGAGAGGCTCCGCGGCCGAGGCCGCGCGTCTCTGCCCCCGCCGTGTTGCGTGGCGCTAGCCGAGTCCCGGTCCTGCGGGTTTGCGTGGCCGTGCGAACCTCTGCGGTGCCGCTGGCAGGGTTCTTCTCGCCTTTCGGGATGCGAGGATTTGCATGACTGGGATTCTGATTGTCGCATCGTTTTCGGTGGATTGTGGTGGCGCATAATTAAGGGTCTCTCACTTCGTTCATTTGTGGAGCCCTATTATGCCGCTCTCCTGTGTGTGTGTATTTGTGTCAGACACTGTGCCAGACCTGGTGGTGATGGCGAAAATCACAGGCTCCCCTCACTGGCTGTGGTCTTGTATTATTTAGTCATTTCACATGTTGCAGGCCATGGCCCACCCCAAGGCAGCTGTTGTGAAGGCATCTTGGCTGCAGCCTGCCTTGAGTAAGGGGCGTTTCTCCGGGGTGAGATTTGAACTGCGAAGTGTGGCCAGGGTGGACGGAGGGGGGGGGGGGCGGGGCAGCTTCTGTTCAGATTGGGTGCAGGGGAGGAGGGGGAGGTGGTTATCCTCAGAGGATCCCGTCAGCCACTGCCTGGGGAGAGAACAGGTCGGACCTGGCGCTGACTGTTTCAGTGATGCCTCGGATGCATTTCTGGGTGGAGTCTGCATGTGTGTAGTCATCAGATTTATTTATTCATTTATTTTCCAGACAGGGTTTCATCGTGTAGGCACATCTGGTCTGGAGTTTGCCATGTAAACTAGGTTGGCATTGTTGTGCCTACAGGGTTTCCTCAAACTCCAAGGAAGTGACTCCCCACTGCAAAAGCAAAAGGTTTTTATTGCTAAGAACCGAACCGGCTGGGACCTCACCCTATCAGAATTCCTAGATTCAAGTGAGGTTCCTCCTGCCTCAGCCGTTCAAACTGCTGGAACTGCATGCACACATTGTACACATCACCACAATGCCCCATTCTTCTTTGTGTTGTTGTCATCAGTCTTCTCTTAATTAAAAAAAAAAAATTGTGTGTGTGGGGGGGCGGTGGGGGAGACATGCATGTCACTGGGTGTGTGGAAATCATAGGACAATTTTTAGAAATCAGTTCTCTTCCACTTTTATTTAGCATCTGATGATCAAACTCAGGCTTGGTGGCAAGTGCCTCTACACTGAGCCATCTCTCTGGCTCTTGACTTTTTCCCTCACTAGGTTTCCTTCCTCCTCCTCCTTCTTTCTTCTTCAAGACAGGGTTTCTCTGTGAAGCTTTGGAGCTTGTCTTGAAACTGGCTCTGTAGACCAGGCTGGCCTTGAACTAATAGAGATCTTCCTGCCTCTGCCTCCCAAGTGCTGGGATTAATTCAAGGCATGTGCCACCAACTTCCAGCTCCCTACTAGGTTCTTAATATTTTCTCTTTAAGGGAAGGTTGAAAGTTTTGTTTTGTTAGTTTACTTTTTGGTGTTTAACTTTTCTTTTGTAAATTATTCTTTTGTGTGCATTTGATGTGTATGGTTAGGTGTAGTATATGTTAGAGGTCAGAAGACAACCTTCTACTTTTTTTGATGTTCTGACAATTAAACTTTGAGCCTATACTTTACCATTGAGTTGTATACACTTTTACCCATCTTGCTAGTTCTTATTTTGGTTTCTTGAAACAGACTCTCATAGTGTAGCCCAGGCTGGCCTCCTGTCTCTCTCCCTCCATCCAGAGTGCTGATATTATAGTCATGAGGCACTACACTTAGCTTTGGGTGTTGCTAGAAGCACATGTTCCTAACAGGTATCCAGAGCTCAGTACATATCACGGTGGTGGTGGCACACACCTTTAATCCCAGCACTGGGGAGGTAGAGACAGGCACATCTCTGTGAATTGAGACCAGCCTGGTCTACAAGAGCTAGTTAGTTATAGGGCAGCCTCCAGAACCACAGAGAAACCCTGTCTCAAAAAACCAAAAAAAAAAAAAGCTCAGTATAGATAGTTGAATAAAAGTACTATTCATTGATAAGTATGTGACATATTTCTACCAGCAGTGACTAAAATGCATGGAAATGATGATGTTGGCCATGCTGATGGCTTAGGCCTGTAATTCCAGAAGTCTAAAAGAAGAGGGCAGCAAGTTCAGGGCCTACCTGGGTTTCAGAGTGAGTTCAAGACCAGCCCAGGCAATCTTAGCAAGACCTTGCCTTACAATAAGAACAACAAAAAGGCCTGAGGTGTACTTAGTGGTAGAGGACTTGCCTATCATATACTAGTTCTAGGATATATCCTTAATATTAAGAAAAATTCTTTCAAATAATGAGGTTGGACCATGAGGTGGGATCCTGATTGCTTCTTTGTAGGACTCTACTCACTTCATTGACTTATTAGTGTGTCCTATGCAGTTGTTCTCATATATTGGGTTTTGTCTTGGTCTAAGAACTTGAGAAACAGTTTTCACAAACGTGTACCAAACATTAACTTTGTTGTTACAAACTTGTACCTTTGTTGAACTATGGGAAGAACAAAGAAACCTTTTGTTTGCTGCTAATTTGCCTGAATTGGCTTTTGTTTTTCTTAGATTCCTCCTGCTAAAGAGAGGAAACCTCATCCAAGGCCACAATGTCACTTCCCAATTATCCCTGGGCTGCCTGCTGAAGCTAACACTGCCAGAATCCTGCTACCTTGGGAGGAATCAAGCTGACTTGACATGAGGTTCTTGCTTTCCTGGGCTTGAGAGAAGCACAACTATGGCTTCTCTTGATGACCCAGGGGAAGTAAGGGAAGGCTTCCTGTGCCCTTTGTGCCTGAAAGACCTTCAGTCTTTCTATCAACTTCAGTCACATTACGAAGAAGAACACTCAGAAGACCGTGATGTCAAAGGACAAATTAAAAGTAAGAGGCGAGGGTTTTGCTCAACCATCCTATGAAAGAGGCTTTACTTAATGTTCCCACTGTGTTATGATGCTGATAATAGTGATAATAGTAGCAAGCAGAAATCTAGTACTTATTGTGTGCTCTGCCTTTTTTTTTTTTTTTTTTTTTTTTTTTTTTTGAGACAGTGTCTTTCTATGTAATCCTGGCTGCCCTAGAACTCAGTATGTAGAACAGGCTGACCTCATAGAGATCTGTTGACTTCTGCCTTCTGACTGCTGGGGTTACAGGCATGTGCCACTAGGTCCAGCCCTTATTTATCTTATTTAATACACATGACAGCTGTGCTACTATGAATTCCATTTTGCTGGCTAGGTTACCAGATTAAGGGAGATTAGATAGCCTACCCAAAGTCATCCAAATGGAGTAAACCTGCCTTTAAGCCACTAAACATAACCACTGTGATCTGTTGTCTCTTACTAGATTGTTCAGATTATCTCACTCAGCCTGGAATGGTTTGGACAGGATGCTTGCTTATGCTTCGCTAGAAAAGCAGAGGCCCAATTGGGCAATGATGGTACAGTCCTTTAATCCCCAACACTTGGAGGCAGAGGCCAGCAGATCTCCATGAGTTCAAGGCCAGCCTAGTCTACAGAGTAAGTTCTAGTACAACCAATGCTACACAGAGAAACCTTGCACCTGTCTCCAAACAAAACAACAACAAAAACTGGAAGCCTGTTACTATTTGCCTGTTACTAATTTAAGCCTTTCCGCCATCCCTCCTTCTCTGGTTAGACTCTGCCTTTTGCAGCCCAGGAAAAGAAATGCAACAGTTCAAAGCAAAGCAAAACAACTCCCCCCCTTTTTTTTTCTTTTTTGTTTTTGAGACAGAATTTCTCTGTGTAGCCATGACTGTCCTGGGACTCCCTCTGTAGATAGGCTGACCTGGAACTCAGAGAACTCAGAGATTCACCTTCTTCTGCGAGTGCTGGAATTAAAGGAGAATGCCACTACTGCCTGGCTTTTTTTTTTTTAAGAGAAATCTTCAGATGTAATTTTGACTGTACCTAAAATTCTAACCTCCAAATAAGTCACTGCTCTTCTGGAGCTCACTTTCCTAATAAGCTAAGTGTCATATCCTACTTGGCAACATTTCTGGAGGCCACAAGAATCACAGAGTGTGGACTGGATTTATAGTCTGTACTGGGTGGAAAGAAGGACTGAACCACTAGATGGTGTTTCTAGTGGACTCTGTTCTCCAGACATGTGACTCCCAGACATGTGACTCACATGCTTCTCATAATCAAATATTTGTCCCTGGACTTTCTTACTCCATTTTTTCAGTTCATTTATTTAAAAAAAAAAAAAAAAAAAAGAGCCAGGTGATGGTGGTGAATGACTTTAGTCACAGTACCCCAGAGCTAGAGGCAGGTAGATCTCTGTGAGTTCAAGGCCAGCATGGTCTACATAGCTAGTTATAGGACAGCTAAGAATACACAGAGAAACCCTGTCTTGAAAAACAAACAAAAAATGCTGGGAATATGAACATAACATTAGCTACAACTTCCATACAAAAACATGATGAAGTCAGACATTTTCAGAATCCTCAGGGCTGTGATTGTCCAGGAAACTGCTGATGCTAGATGCTGAAGCAGAACCAGAAACTGCTAAAAGGAGTACAGGAAAGGGTGGTGCTTTGTAATGTTTGCAGTTTCTTTTGTACGCATTGTCATGTCATTTGACTTTCCCAGCAATCCTACTGGAGGAGGCTTGGTGTAATTATATAGGTAAGTGTGGTGTAAGAGTTGACCAGTAATGTTTCCAAAGCCACATAACAATTGGCTGAAATAGACCTGGAACCCAGATCTTCTGACCCATGGAAGTCCAGGGCAGTTTTTTTGTTTTGTTTTTTGGTTTTTCAAGACAGGATTTCTCAGTGTAGTTTTGTAGAGCAGGCTGGCCTCCAACTCACAGAGATCCACCTGCCTCTGCCTCCTGAAGCTGAGACTAAAGGTGTGGGCCCTTCCCTCCTCCCCCCTTTGCTCAGAACAGCTTTTTCTGCAGGGCATCTCTGATTATGAAAGACCCTCTCTCTGTTCTGGTCACAGCATGCTTTGCAACTTCCAGGGACGAAAGCAGGGAGGAGCTGCAAACCAAACCAGATTATCTAAGCTTCCCCTGACAACCTAAGGGCTTCAAAGAGCTTCCTATCTTTCCATACACCTTGCTACTCAGGACTAGATAGGGCAGACTGTAGAAAGCTTCGAGGTGTCCTTTTACTTTTTAAATTTTTATTATTTTCATTTTATGGCTATGAATGTTTTGCCTGTATATATGTTTATGCATTGCTTGTATGCCTAATTCTCATGGGGGCTAGATGAGAACACTGGATCCCCTGGAACTGGAGTTATAGACAGTTGTGAGCCCCCATGTAGATGCTGTGACTTGAACTCAGGTCCTCTGAAGTGCTGCAAATGCTTTTAACTGCTGAGACATCTCTGCAGCCCCTTACAGGAACTTACCTTTCTTCTTTCTTTCTTTCTTTCTTTCTTTCTTTCTTTCTTCCTTCCTTCCTTCCTTCCTTCCTTTCTTCCTTCTTCCCTCCTTCCCTTTCCTCCCTCCTCCCTCCCTTCTTCCCTCCCTCTTTCCTTTCTGTTTGTCTTTCTATCTTTCTGCCTTTCTGTCTGTCTTCCTGTCTTCTTGTCTTTTTGTTTTTTAAGACAGGGTTTCTCTGTGTAGCTTTGGAATATGTCCTAGAACTCTCTTTGTAGACCAGGTTGGCCTCAACTCAGAGATCTATCTGCCTGCCTCTGCCTCCCCAAATGCTGGGATTAAAGGTGAGCCACCACTGCCTGGTTCAGAAACTTTTCTAAAAGAGAAAAATGTCCAGACTGTTTAAGCAGTGTTAGAGATGGGAATCTAGGAAATATACATAGCATGAAAATGTTTTGTGGAAAGAATCTTATAAAGATCCTCTAGGATGGGTCTTCTGCAGAGTAGGGCATGACTCAGAGCACTTGCCCTGGCTTCCACACACAAAGAAAAAAGTCCTCTTGTTTTTTTCCTCCTATTTCTACCTCAAAAGAACCAACATTCTTTTAATATTAGAAATTATTTTGTTAGTTAAGATGAAATTCCTTTTTTAAAAAGAATGTTTCTGGTTTGAACTTTATTATATTTATTTAGTGTATGTATTTATGTATGTACACAAACAATGCCAGTATGTGGAGATCAGAGGACAACTTGTGATAGGGGTTCTCATCTTATACAACTTGGGTCCTAGAAATTGAACTTGGGCATTCATGTTTACCTGTAAGCATTATCTGCTGAGCCATCTGAAAGACCCCATGTTTGTTTGTTTGTTTGTTTCAGACAAAGTTTCTGATAGTATCCCAGACTAGCCTCAAACATAGTGGTAGATGTCCTTGTACTGATCCATCTGCCTCCACTTATAGATTCTTGGATTAATTACAGTATGTCTGACCATGCCCTGGTTGGGTAAAGTTTGTGGGTTGCAGGTCTCTGTGCTTTAGTAGTCCTAGTGCTGGAGAGGCAGAGGTGGGAATGTAGTTAGCTGCAGGTTAGAAGCTGACCTTTCAAGAAAACCAAAAGAAGTGAGAGAGAAAGTAGGAAAGGTTAACATAGAGTTTTTTTGAAAAGTCCCTTTAAAAGTATTTCATCTCTCCATTTGATCTGCTGATCCTTCAAATTTTTTTGATATTTATTTAATTTATTTTGAAATAAGGAATCTCTGTGTAGCTCTGGCTAACCTGGAACTCACTATGTAGACCAGGATGGCCTTGAACCCACAGAGATCTGCCTGCCTCTGCCTTCTGAGTGTTAGGACCAAAGGTATATACCATGCCTACAGGTGTTATATTTGTAAACAATAAGAACTGGAACACTAGGTATCAGGTTTCAAAGGTACTTATTTTGTTTTGGTCCAGAGCATGTGCCATGGTGCATATGTGGAGGTCAGAGGACAACTTATGGGAATAAGTTCTCTCCTACCATGTGGGTACTGGGGATCGATCACAAGCCTTCAGGTTTGGTGGCAAGTGCTTTTTACTTGCTGAGCTATCTCACTGGCCTCTTGGCAGTTCTAAACAGACAAGATTAATTCACCATTTCTGAAAAGTGGTCTGTAGGTTTGAATCCTGGCCCTGGTCTAGCTGAGGTTAAGCCCTTTTACAATAGGCAGAGGAAAAAGTGGTTGAAAATTGACTGTAGCTTCTGTTTTGTTTTCAAAGATGTATGGATTGGTTAACTGGGCCCCTTTGGAAGGGCTATATCTACTCTGAGAAGACTGCTAGGCAGTTTTCTGTTTTTGTTTGTTGTTGTTCCTTGTTTTTTTTTTTTTTTTTTTTTTTTTTTTTTTTTGCTTTTTGTTTTTCTTCCAAATTTGTTAAAAATGCCTGGACTGCTTTTTTTGCAGAGCATAGTTGTCTTGTTTGCAAAATAAAGAGGTGTGCTAGGCATAGTAGGACACATCTTTAATCTTAGCACTTGGGTGACAGAACTAGGTGGATCTTTGCTATTTAAAGGCAAGAGTGTTTTATGTAGTAAGTTTCAAGCTGGTCAGGGCTACATAGAGAGATCCTGTCTGAAACAAACAAAAATCTACCATCTTGGTTCCCTCACTGATTTTGATTTGGCTTAAACTCTTGTGGGGGTTGGTAATGAGGTATTTCTCTCACTATTTCTTTGGGGTTTCAAATATTCTGGTGCATTTTAAAATCAGGAAGATTTTTTTTTTTATATAATCTTGTGGTATTTGTTTCATTTCTTTAAGATCTTGTTCAGAAGGCGAGGAAAGCAAAGAACAAGTTGTTGAAACGTGAAGGGGATGATCGAGTGGAACCAGGGACCCAAGGATATGAATCATTCAGCTATGGAGGAGTTGATCCTTACATGTGGGAACCCCAGGAGCTTGGTAAGAAAATCCATTCATTCATTCAGTGCTTATGGGATATCCACCCTGTTTTAGGTAATTTTTTTTTTCAATCTTAAAATTATATTTCACAGTCACACACACATACTTTGATTATATTCCCCCTGAATTAATCATGTTCTGTAAAGAAACAGAACTGACAGAAGATGGTCCTGGTCGTTCACTGGCTGTCTCAAGTTAGTCTCTGTAGTCACAATCTGGTGCTACATCCTAGAGGATCCCTGGAGAGCTGCTGGTCTTCAGTCTGTGCTGGAATCCTGACAAATTGGGATTTAGTACCAGCTGCAGCAACAGGATAGATGAACTTGCCAATGAGAGAGGAGGGCAAGCACACTAAAAGCCAAGTTTCCTTCTTCCAGGCTTTCATGGGGGCTGTTACCAGAAGGTGTGGCCAAATTTAGGACAGATCTTGTTTCAAATAATGTAAGAAAATCCCTCACAGGAGTACCCAGCAGCTTGGATTTTAGTTGATTCAGATAGAGGCAAGTTGACAACCAGCATTAGTCATCACTTCCCTTTCTACCATCCTCTCTGCTCTCCCCCCATCTCCCAGTGAATCCCTTCTTCCCAACAAGTCACCCTCCTGCTTTCATTGTTTTAGAGCTGATTGAGAAAGCTTCAGTAAACCCTAAAGGTCAAGCATTGTATTGGCCTTATGTCTTCACAGGCAGAGAAATGGAATGGAATGAGCTGAGATCTTTTAAGTTTGGCAATGTGTTAAATGCTTTGTATGTGTGGCTTCCTTCCAGTGTCACTGTCCCTTATAGGAACCTGCTGAAGCTCAAACAGCTGCTAAACTCTAGCAGTAGAGTGATATTCTGGGTCTGTCTCATGAAGCCTAGCCACAGAGCCCATTGATAGATCTGTCTCCCTTCGGTTACCTTTTCTGATGTGTATAATTATGGTTTTATCTGCTTAGTTACTTTAAACTGGAATGTTGCTGAGGACAGAATCCGGGGCCTTGGCAAGTGCTATGTTATAGAGCTACACTCCCAGCTCAACTCTACTTTTTTTTTGAGATAGGGCCTTGCTATGTAGCTTTGGCTGTCCTGGAACTCACTCTGTAGATCAGGCTGGCTTTGAACTCGAGTTCTGCCTGCCTCTGCCTCCTGTAGTGTTTGCTACTATGCCACAGTTGATAAAAAGTCTAAAATTTCTTTTTATGATTATTCAGTCTTGTGACTATATAAAACAACTACCCCCAGAAGATCCAAACCATTGCATTAATATGTTTAGGATGACTTTTAATTTTTTTGTTTTTAAATTGAGACTTGTACTCACTATGTAGTTTTGACTGTCATGGAACTCTCTTTGTAGAACAGGATAACCTTGAACTCACAAAGATCTGCCTGCCTCTCAAATGCTGGTATTAATGGCATGCACCATCCTGTGCTAAATAGTGAATTATATGTATAGAAATTACATACCAGAAAAGCTGTTAACAAAAATGTGCCACATTTGCTGAGCTAGAATGTGTTTTATCTTACATATTCTGTAGCTGTGGATTGATAACAATCACTAATTTTGTTTGCCAGGATTTAATTTCAGTCAGAAGTTTGGTAAGAAAATTCATTTATTTGTTCTTTGATTCCATGTTTATTGAGCATCCATGTGCCTCACCCATGCTGAGTCTGTGCTCTTGACACAGGGCTACATACCCAACCCAATAAAGTACTTTCTGTCCATGAAGAAGATAAATAATGCTTCTTTCGGAGTAGTTTATTTTAGTTTTGTATTTAAAACCCTTGTGAGATAGCCTTCTCTGACCACTATAGCATTCAAGATCCTTGTGAGATAGCCTGCACTGACCACTACTACAGCATTTAAAACCCTTGTGAGATAGCCTGCACTGACCACTACAACACCCCCTCCCACCCACCCACACACAAAGCTTGCACACACACAAACATACTCACAAGGAAACTAAGGCCCTAAGAAAGGAAGGGATATTTATCAGGGTCACCGATTGCATCTTTATTCATACCACTGGGGAAGGTGGCATTAAATCCTAGAACTGTCCAGTTCAATAGCCACTGGCCAAATGTGGCTATTAAAATTTCAATAATGAATCAAACAAATGTAAGGGTCATTTCCTCTACTACACACACTTCAGCTGTGCAGTATCCCTGTGTGGTTAGTGGCCACCCTGTGAGTGTACACAAACATTTTTATCACTACAGGAGAAAATGGCTTTACAAATAATACTATTGTTACATGACTTTCCAGGGACCTGTAAAGGAAACATCTGTTCACTTTAAATAAGGAGGATACAGACAGAACAAAGAAAGCTCCCACCAGTCTAGTTTGGTGAGATAAATGAGTTTACAAGAACATGGGTGACTCATAGGCAGCTGTACCATTGAAAAGCTCCAGTCTCCTGTGTAACAAGCTACTGTTTTAATTGTTAAATTTTTTTTAAATTTTGTGTATGAGTATGTGCACATATGTATGCAGTTGTCTGGGGGGGCGGTGGTTCAAAAGAGGGTATAATATTACCTGGACCTGAAGTTATAGGTGGTTGTGAGCTATCTGACATGGGTGCTGAGAACTGAACTTGGATCCTGCAACAACACTATGTACTCTTACCTGCTGAACCCTCTTTCCAGCCCTAAGTTCCTATTTTATATGACTCCTAGTCTACATTAGAATTAATGCAAAACTGGATTCAGAGCACTAGCTCGTGTTGAAGTAGTAGTGTTGGCCATGAGTTCAGACCACATAAGGCACAGGTAAAACTAGGCTGATGAGATACCATGTTTACGTGTACTATGTCCTTGCTCTGATTAGGCGTTCTGCTGATATCAGCAAGCAGTGTCTAGCCATAGGAAGGATGATAGCCTGTTTTGCTACAGTCAAGCACACAGTGGCTTACTGCAAAATGGAGTTACTCTGGCCACAATTTAGAGGTCTACTTCCATTACAGACATATCAGCAATTATGAACTATGTGAAAGATAATTAGAAGCATAAAGGAGAAAATTCAGACAAATGAATTTAATACTTTATGATAATTTTTATTTTGATAAAAAACTATGTTGTACTAAGTCTCAAAATAGTAACTTGTCTAAGGTTACTTAGTATCTAGCAGAATTGAAATTTAAGCTGAGGCTAACTCTTCATCTGCTAAGCTTTGAGACCTTTACATTTTTGGTAAGGCTCTAAAATCCTGAAGTTTTTACTTGGTTTTCAATTCATTGAGGATCTAGAGAGGCTTCATGAGAATCATTAATAATTCATTTATCTTCTTCCCCTTTAGGTGCTGTGAGAAGCCATCTTTCTGACTTTAAAAAGCATCGTGCTGCAAGAATTGACCACTATGTTGTAGAAGTCAACAAATTAATAATCAGGTTGGAGAAGGTAAATTTTGTAGTTTTATTTTGCAAGTACAGATTTAGTAGGAATCTCAGTTTCTATAGTGTGTGTTATGTGAGTTATGTGTATCTGATTCTGAGAGAGCTACAGAGGACAGGCTGGACCTGAGCTGGCCTTCCCGAAATGAATAGCTCACACTGATAGACTTGCTATGTGCCCAACTCACCTCTTCTGCCTTTTACCTCCACTTACTGCTTCAAAACTTTTCATTCTGGGGTTGTCCCAGGCAGTCACTCAGTGGGGGCACAGAATGTAATGCCATTTGGTAGCAAACAAGCAGTGTCCAGCTCTGTGAGTACTCAGTCAGGGCTAGGGCTCGTATGTGTTGTGGGGGCATTTTGAGTAGCCTTTCTTGCCCCATAGAGCTATATTATGTCGCAGCACCTCCATGATTCGGTTGTATTCTGACCCTAGATAATCTTGCTATGTATCTGGATTGTGTGGGGGCATGTGGTAGCATTTGTAGGTATAGTCCCTTTTTCATTTTTGTGCTACCTCAGCAAGCACACTACCACCAAGTAAGTCCCAGACCAGGAAAGTTCTTATTGGAATGGAGTTTTGTAAGCAGAGGTGGAGCTTTTCGTTTGTTTCATCTGCCTGGTCCCAAATAATCACACCAATAAAGCTTTATAGGTGTGGAGGTTTCTTCTGGATATGAAACTAACATATAACTTGTGAGATTGTTTGGATAACTGGGGTTGGGGCTAACCAGTGAGCCTTGAGAAATGTAAACATGCATTGCCTGCTGGGTGTGAGTCGCAGAAATGTGGAGCATGTCCCTCAACTGGTTAACTCCATTTGTCTTTGTGTTTTCTTGTTTAGCTCACTGCATTTGACAGAACAAATACTGAGACTTCAAAGATTAGAGGTAAGTCCAGACCTTTGCTCACAATCATTCCATTTTGGCTTTCTCTTTGAGAACAACTTCAGAATGCTGAGCTGCTTTTTCCTTTTTTCCTTCCAAAGCAATAGAAAAGTCGGTGGTACCTTGGGTCAATGATCAGGATGTCCCTTTCTGTCCAGACTGTGGGAATAAGTTCAGCATCCGAAACCGCCGTCACCACTGCCGTCTCTGTGGGTCTATCATGTGCAAGAAATGTATGGAGCTCATTGGCCTGCCCTTGGCAAGTAGGTGATATGGTTGTGGGCCCTGGGCCCTGATGTCTTTTGGGACTAGTGAGTGTGCTCAGATCCTTTGAACCACTTGTTTAATTAATGATCCACAGAATCTTCTTTTGAGTTCATGAAGTGCACTATAGCCTAGATACTGTGCTAGGTGGGGCCCAAGGATATAGTGGTCTATATAGGCTGGTGAGCTTTTTCTTTTTTTCAGAAAGGGGTGTTGGAGCCCCTGTAACTGGAGTTACAGATGGTTGTAAGCCACTATATGAGTTCTAGGAATTGAACCTGGGTCCTCTGCAAGAGCAGCAAGCATTTTTAACCTATGATCCATCTTTCTAGCCCTGAGATTTTTTTTTTTGTTTGTTTGTTTGATGGTTTATTTGTTGTTTTTGATCTTCCCACTCCCCCAGACAGAGTTTGTCTTTAGCCATGGATATCCTAGAACTTGCTCTGTGGCCCAGACTAGCTTCTAACTCAGAGATTCACCTGCCTCTGCTTCCCAAGATCTGGGATTAAAATAATATGCCACCACCTCCACCCAGCCCTGAGATGTTTTTTTTTTTTTTTTTTTAAATAAAAATTCAGATGAGAACTATTTTAAGGCTTTGTGAACACAAATGGTCTCTTCCCTTTCTTCTTAGTTTAAAAAAAGAAAAAAAAGAGCAACATCTTAAAAACAATCTGGGTGTGTACACACTAGGGAGGCAGAATCAGAGAGTCACAGCATGGTTAATATCAGCCTGGACAAATATTGAAGCTTGGTCTCAAACTAAAACCAAACAAGGAAATGTAAAACAAGCTAGATGTATTGGCTTCTCAGCACATGGGAGGCTGAGGCTGAAAAAATTCCATAAGATTGAGCCTGGGCTACAGAGTGAGATGAACCTGTCTCAAAGCAAAAATAAAAAAGATTGAAAAATATACTTAGTTTAAGAGCTATTCCAAAACAAGGCAGAGGCTCATTTGGCTTACAAGTGGTTATTTGTACATTTCTAGTCTGTAAGGCATTTCCTGTTTTCCCAAGGAAATCTAATAAGGGAGATAGAGATCCACACACAATTGCATCATAAAGGAGAGGCTGAGCTGTTTTTTGTCAGCTTTGCAGGTGAGGTTTTGGGAAGAGGATTTGAAGAATGAACAGTGGTTCTGTTTCTCTCCTTAATGATAAAATGTCATACAGAAAGACTAATGGCATGTAAGAAATGCTAAGTGCCATGGAGGCTCCAGGGAAAGGAAGCATGGAGAAGTGGACTCCACATGTAATGTCAGAAGTACTTTGAAAGAGAATGGGGTTGTTAACACTCTAGGCAGAGTCAGAAACATCAAGGGATTCTGGCACTCAGTCCCTAGGGAGCTGAGCTAAGTAGGTGAGCGGGGAGATTTGCTATGGGAAGTGTACAGTTGTGGATGAGACCTGGGAACAAAGATGTAAAAGTACAAGTGGACCAGATGCGCCAGTACTTTGCAGCTACTTTGCAGATCAGCTGCTTAGACACTGCTGCGGGAGGGCTGAGGTGCAGCTTAGAGAAGGAGCACCAGTCTAGCATGGTCAAGGCTCTGGGTTCCATCCCCAGGACAGATTAGCAACACCAGAGTTCTGCTGTTTGTACATACTTGGATATGAGACTTATGGACAACATGGGGGTGAAGTCACTTTTGTTCTGCCTAGTTCTTGTGTCTGCTTACTTTTCTAAAAGGACCCATCTCCTTTTAGGACACTGCTAACCTTTCTGTTCTTGGGCTTTTTACCAGGGCAGATGCTATCAGGTGTCCTTGATGGCTGTGTTAGGGCTATGAATATAAGACACAGTTTCTAACCAATAGTTGCAGATTCCCAGGGTGGCTCTGTACACACATACAGCAGTTGGACAGGAAAACTGAGTGTGCTTCAAATGGGTAATGGGAAATGATATGAAGGGCAGATTTTTGCTTGTGGGAACCTAGGAGGGCTTCCTAGAGGGTATGTATCTGAGCTAAGCTTGGAAAGGGTTAGCACCAGATGTTAGGGACTGGTGGGAGGACTACAGAGGGAAGTCTCTGGAGAATGTAGATTATGTGGAAAAGTGGGACAAACAGAGGAAGTTAGGGTTAGTATTAGAAGCCCCAAAGACAGGTCACTACAGGCTGTTTGGACCTAATCTGCTTGGCAATAGCATCCTTTTCCCAACCCCTGTGGCAGAGGAATAGGTCCTTCTTGTCCAGAGGCGAGGCCTGCTCTTACTGTTTCCCAAGTCACATGTGTGGCCTGAGTACTGCAGTTGCAGGTGGTGGGATAAAGGGCTGCTGAGGGGTCACTGCTGCCTGTCTGTTATGGTTTATAGATAAGCTCACCAGTGCCAGCAAGGACTCTCTGAGCACCCATACCAGCCCCAGCCAGTCACCTAACAGTGTCCATGGCTCCCGCCGGGGCAGCATCAGTAGCATGAGCAGTGTCAGCTCAGTCCTGGACGAGAAGGATGATGACCGCATTCGCTGCTGCACACACTGCAAGGACAAGCTGCTCAAGAGAGAGCAGCAGATGGACGAGAAGGAGCACACACCTGACATCGTGAAGCTCTACGAGGTGATGCATGCCAGGCAGATTCGGCTGTTTGCTGTACACCTTCCTGCAGATTCCAGAGAGTGCTCTGGGAAGTTGTTCCCTTGAATTAGTTTTAGCTCCTGCCCGAGGGCCATGGTATGATTTCCCACCTAGGGCCCTGGGAGAGTCATAGAGTCATCCTGGGTATGTGGTAGCAAACTCGTTTTCCTACCTTGGGAAGGAGGCCTTCCCAAGTGGGGAAGGATGGTTGTCTGTGATGACCAGGTTCAGTGGAAAAACAGAAGCTGAAGGTATAGTGAACTGTGGACTGCAAGGTCCTGGGAACTCTACTTGGAAGTTTTGGTCTTTACCAGTTTGAGCTGTTGTGTGTTCCTGTCTATTCGCTGAGAGTCTCTTCTGAGTCTCAAATGTCTTAGTCTTCATTGCCTCCAGTGACCCTAGAGCACCTAAGTGGAGGCACACTGAGAGGAAGGAAAGGTAGACCTCTTGCTGTAGGTTTCATTTCCAGTGCACATCTAAAATCAGTTGGTGTGCAAGAGGAAATAGAAAATGTAAAGAATATCTGGACTGGGCATGGTGGATCTCTGAGTTTTACAGCCTGTTTACATAGCAAGCTCCAGGCCAGTCAGGGCTGCATAGAGCCTATTTAAAACAAAAATAAACAAACAAAAGGAAAAGAAAAGAAATCCGGGAATGAGGCAAGATCAGCCTCTTAATGACCAAGTGAGACCTGTGGACTGAGACAGGTGGGGAAGTGAAGGACACTGGGAGTGGGGACCAGCCTGGGCAGAGGAAGTTACTTGAGCAAAACTCTGAGCCAAGGAAGTATGTTCTCAGTGAGCACTGAATGGCCACTAAACATCTCTGCAGGTCATGATGGCTGCTTATATTCCACCATATAAATACTGACATTGCCAGAGGTGGTGTGAAACCAGTGCTGAACAGCTGCCCTCCATCCTGTATGGAGTCCTCACACTGGTGTCTCTTTTTAGTAACTAGTCATTTTCCTTACTTTCCTGAGGGGAGTCCTGGCAGTGCCATGTGCTGATAGCCTGCTATTAGCTGGCATCACCTGGCCAAGAACACAGTGACTGATTCCTCTTCCTTCTTGAGACACTTTGTGCTCTGAAGGCTGCCTCAAAAACATCTGGTCCAAAGGTCCACCCCTGTGTTCTTTCCTTCCTGCAAGATTTTCTGCTTAGAAAATAGGTCTATCCATAAGGAAACTAACAACAACAAGACAAAAAAACCTAGTATTTTAAAGGGGGACTTTTATTTATTTCTCTAGTGTAGGTTGGCATGTAGGTGAGAGTTTCTGTCTTCAGTGTAGCACTCACCTCTTCTCTTTTGTTCTTAGAAACTACGACTATGCATGGTGAAAGTTGACCAGAAAGCTCCCGAATACATCAGGATGGCAGCATCTTTAAAGTAAGCTTTCCCCTGTTTTTCTGACTGATTGGTCACTATGATCTGGCTGGTGAGGCCGATTCTTCACTAGACGAAAATGAAGATAGAAATCTTTTTATTTGTTTTCTGTCCCCCCCCCCCCCTTGGTGCTAAGAATGAAACCTAGCCTTGTATATGCTTAGCACATGCTCTACCACTGTTAAACACCTGCCCAAAAAAAAAAAAAAAAAATAGAATTCCCCCTCCCCCAGATTTTAGGAAATTAATGTTAATAAATCCATTAGTATGTATGTATTTGCTTCCAGATTGCCTTTTAAACTCCCAACCCCCAGCCTCTTACCTCTGGGAGCACTTAAAGCTGTAAATCTTAACTCTGACGTTTCACAATTATACATTGGTAGTCATAAGTTTTTGTCACGTGAGTTTTAAAAATACATATAACCGTCCATGTTCATGTGTCAGGGCCGTTTTGATGAAGCAGGTTTGGGAGGGGCCTCAGACCCGATGTGCCACTGCTCCGTGTAGGACTTGGAAGCAGGTGAGGAAGGGAAGACCATCTTGTGCCCAGCTTGCCAAGGTGCCTCTTAACAGTGCACTGTAGTGTCCGGCTTATAACAGGCATTTTGTTTTGAGCATAAATGGGTACACAGCAGCACAGAGCAAATGTAACCTATCTTAGGTTTTCTTTTCTAAAATTAAGATGTGGTTCACATACTTTTAGTGTACAGTTAAGTGATGTTTATGACAGTATAGTCACAGGGTCGTTCAATTGTCACTGCCATCTTAACTGAAAACATTTTTATCACTCTGCTGAGTAACCTCATACCAGTAAGCTACTTGCCCTCTTCCTGGCAGTCACTGGTCTTCCTGAATTTGTCACGATGTGATATTCCATTATAAAGGGAATCATATGACCATTTGTGTCTCGCTACTTCTATGTACATCAGTGTTTTCAACATTCACCCATGTTGTAGCATGCACTATATTACTGTCCGTGTACTAAAATGTTGTAGATTTATTTATGAAATGTGTTTATTTATTTGTCAGTTGATGTTTATTTGTGTCCCCTCCTTCCTCCTACTTTTAACTGTTGTGGATAACACAGTTTTTCTTTGTTTGTTTTTGAGACAAGTTCTTATGTAGTGCAGGCTGGTCTTAAACTCATTCTGTAGTTGAAACTGGCTTTGATCTTTTGTTCTTCCTGTCTTTACATCTATGTACTGGGACTACATAACATATGTCAACATGTCTGACCAAGAATACTGCACCTTTCATAACTGTATGTCTGTATATGTGAACCTATGTAGATAGTAGTATAACTTATGCTGGGTTTTGTGGTAACTCTGCATTTAACTGCAAAATTATGTCCCAAAGAACTATGTGGATATTATGTTTGTCTTTGCACTTTATAATTTTGTTTCTCCACAGCCTGGCTAACACTTGTGGCTACCTGTTTCTTACCTGTTTATTTAGTGTGTGGTACATCTGTGTATGGTGTGTGTGTGTGTGTGTGTGTGTGTGTGAGCACTCTTGTGTATGAGTCTAGGTTCGTGTATCCATGGCTAGTGCTGCCTCTGAACATTCTGTGATTTTCCCTGGCCAGTGGGGACAGCCATTGCTGAGCACATTTCCAAATGGTTAACTCTCAATTCTCCCTCAGGGACTGGCTTTCCTGGGTCTTATGTTACTTCATCCACTGAGCAGATGCTTCATGAGTGAGCACTAGTTCTGTGCCACACACTGTTCCCCTCGGATCTGTGACTGAGGCAGTGAACAGAGATGATGGTGCCTTTCCCATCATCAAGGGAGCAAGTATTGCATGGGTTAATTCTAGCCGCGACAGTGTTCTGGGGGAGGAAAATTGATGTGATGGAGTCTGAGGAAGTGGGTTCAGGCCTCAGCTCTTACATTTTCTATGAGACACCAAGATGGAGCCTTAGTCTAGTTACTTAGGAGGCTGAGAAATGAACCCTGGAGCTGAGGTGTTCAGCATAGGAAGGTTCTGCTTTTAAAAAGAACAAAATCCAGAGGTTTTCTGTGTAGCTCTAGCTGTCCTGAAACTCGAATTGTAGACCAGGCTGGCCTTGAACTCCAGAGATCTGCCTGCCCCAGCCTCCTGAGTGCTGGGGTTAAAGGCATGTGCCACTGATACCGGCTGACACAGCCTGCTTTCTTACTTCTTTTTTTTTTTTTTTAATTTTGTGACGAAAAGACGATGAAGCCACTGTATTGAATCCCCTGATGATAGAACACTCCCATAGTTTACCATTTCTGGCTGGAAATACATGGTAAATTTTAATGCTTACTTAAGTTGCAGCTGCCTCCCATAAAGAGTTGAGTGAGGCTTGTTACAACTGAGAAAGCTGCTGAGCTGTTCTCATGATCCAAAAGTTCATAAGAAAAGCCACAATCTTGGCACTTGGATGTAGCAGTCTGGCAAGCTTGAGTGACAAGCTTGCAAATGAATATTTTTTTTTTTAATTTCTTTAACTTTATTTTATGTGCATTGGTGTGAAGATGGAGTAACAGACAATTTTGAGTTGCCATGTGGTTGCTGGGAATTGAACTCAGGACTTCTGGAAAAGCAGCCAGTGCTCTGAACCGCTGAGCCATCTCTCCAGCCCCTTGCAAATGAATAATTATAACACTAAAGATGTTGCTGCTGTCCTAAGTTATGTCACTTGTGGTCTTTTCTGATATCCTGTCACCACCCTGGACAGTTAGTCTCATTCTGTTAGACTTGGAATCTGGGTGCTTTTCTCCTGTGTGGAGCGGTTGTTTGTGAGAGTCTGTTGGGCAGTTGACATAGCTCAGGGCATTCCTGTTCACTGTATAGTCACTCCTCTTCTTAAACAGTAGACATAGCTCAGGGCATCCCTGTTCACTGTATAGTCACTCCTCTTCTTAAACAGTAGCTGCGAGTGAAAAGCCAAGTGACTTCCAGCTTTCGTGTAGTTTCATTAGCTCATTAATTAAGTCACTTTATATCTCCTATAAGATAAAGTGAGAGATTGTTTAAGAAAAAGGAGTCAGAGTGAACTCAGCTGCATTTGTTTTGTTGATGAACCTAAGAGCTGGTCTTTGGGAGCTGGAGTGATGGCTCAGCAGTTACTGTGCTCTTCCAGAGCACTACTAGAGTTAGGTTCCTAGCACCTGCGTCAGGCTTCTTGTAACCTCACAACCTCCTGTAACTCCAGCTCTAGGGGATCTGACCCTTCTGGCTCCCACATACACAAACCTAAAAATAATAAAATAAACCTTAAAAAAATAAATAAATAAAAGGGGTGGTCCTCAGAGGCCTGGTCAGTGACCTGTCCCTAAGATGTCTGCAAAGGGAAATGGCTTCTGCTTGATTACAGCATCCCAAGGAATTAGTGCATCAGCCCCATGACTCTAAAATGCCTTAGAATTAGCCACCTGTGTCTGAGGATTTAAACAACTTGCTCTCTAGTTAGCACCATGATTTATGATTTCTCCTTAGTGCTGGGGAGACGACCTACAGTCTGGAGCATGCCAATGACCTTCGAGTGGAAGTGCAGAAGGTGTACGAACTAATAGACACTTTAAGGTAAAGTTTGCTAGATCATGTTTCTGCTGCTGCATAAGGGGAAGAAGATGGCGTTTTGATGAAACAGTGAGTGTTAGGGAGCAGCCTTGGGCTTGTCTAGATTCCTAGTGACAGTGGAAACAGTGGAGGAGCTTTGTCATCTGCTGTAGCTCTGGAACTCTGGTTAAGGATTTGGAGTGCCTACGGGTGGGGAGTAGGTCAGTAATAGAGTACTCTCCTAGCATGTGCATTGTCCTAGGTTCAGTCCCTAGCATGCCAGGGACTAGAGAAAAAGATTTCTGATGTTCATTAGTAATAAATAAGAGCTAGCTGCTGTACTACCTGTGTACCTGTCCCCATGGAATAGATCAAGGTTAGCACTTCCATTTTATAGGAGAGAGGCTTTGATAGAAACCCAGGTTCTTTGTGTGGCTCCGCTCTTGAATATTTTAAGAATGACAGCAAGGCTTTCCTGTGTTGCTACTTCTGTGACCAAGCATTCATCATTCATCTGTGCAAGAGAGTAGCCAGAGGGTAAGGAATGGGCCTTGCTATGAGGGACACTTCACTTTCTTCTGTGTTCTTCCACATTCTTATGGTACGAAAGCCTGGAAGCTCCAGAGACTTCACTCTGTTGCTGAGGCTGGCGGCACCATGGCATTGACTCGTTTATTCCAATATAGTAAGAAGATCTTAACCTTGGGCTTGAACCAGGACCCTTCACCACATCCAAACACTTTGCGGCTACAGAGAATGATCAGATATTCAGCTACACTATTTGTGCAGGTAAAGCCATGCTGGGGTGACATAAGTGTGTGGCTTGCTTGTTTTTTGTTGGTACATTTATTATTCCTTAAAATCATGAATGCCACATATGGAGACAAAGATAAAACCTGAGTAAAAGTAAAGGTACTTTTTAAAAATTATTAAACGGTTATTGTGGTTATAACCACCCCCATTATCCACTCTCATCTCCCTCCATTCCTGCTGACTTCATCCTAGCTAGTCTCCCTCTTACTTCATGTTGTCTGTCTGTCTGTCTGTCCATCCGTCCGTCTATCTATCTAGTGTGTGAATGTATGTGTGTATAGGTCTAGTGTTGTTTTGTGTTTTAGATTTTCTTTTGGATTGTGTATATGTGTGTCTGCATGTGGGTTGATGTACATGTGAATGCAAGTGCTGCAGAGTCCAGAGGGGGCATTGGATCCCCTGGATCCGGAGTTAACAGGCAGTTGGAGTAACTGATGTTGGACCTAGGAACCAAATTCAGGTCCTCTTCGCTCCTGAGCCATCTCTGTAGCCCCAGGTCTTGTGTTCAAAATAGCTTTTAATCCTATGTCTCCAATACAATTATTCTTCATTCTGTTATGTTCTTAATTCTATTCTTTTATTTACATTTTATATGTGATATTTATAATTAGTTCATTGCATTAGTTTTCACATTGCTGTGATAAAATAAACTTAAGGAAAACTTTATTTGGGTCACAGTTTGAAATCTGTCAAGGTGGGGTGGCCATGGTGGCAGGAGCTTGAAGCAACTGGTCGCTTTGTATCTGAGTCAGGAAACAGAGACAGATGAATGCTATTGCTCAGCTAGCTCTTTCTTTTTATTCAGTCTGGGAGCCCAGCTCATAGAAGAGTGCCACCCACACCGGACAGGGTCTTCCCACCTCCAACTGTTTTTGGAAAGACCTTTATGGACACACACAAAGGTGTGTTTCAATTCTAAACCCATCCAAGTTGATAAGGAAGATCTGCCCTTGCATTCATACCTACAGATTTGTATCATTTCCATCACCGAATCTTCTGTGCTTTGTTGACCACAGAATATTACTTTGACTCTGTCTGTTCTCCTTTGTTGAGTCATTTCATTTTAGTTGGGGAGTTGATGAATTTTAAGTTTTTGCTATTAGGGGTAAGTCATGTTTTTTCCTCAGTGACTCTTTCTGGGTCATTAGCTAATTGTTCAAGAGCAGGCTAAACCTAGGTGACTAGATTTGAGTTGCATTTTTCTACCTCTGATGTCCCCTGCATTGTTGGAGTCCCTAGATGACTTGGTTGAAAGAGCTCTAAGATGACTCCTCCATCTGGCAGTGGTTTCCTGCCCAGATCATGTGAGGAAGGCTAGGAGTCCTAGAACTTTCATGAGTTTCCTGAGTTTTGTCAGTTTCTTGAAGTTCCATGACTTTAAGCCTCCGGCTTAAAAGTCCTCCAGGAGGGAATATTTCTATTGGCAGAATGTAGTTACATAGCAAGGGATCAACAACAAATTACTAAAACATGATATACTAGAGAGTATGAAGTACTGGGGAGAGATCTGAGGGTGGTAATTAAGCACAAAGGGTGGCAGGGAGTGCTGGAGTCTAGATGGCTATAGGTAGATGGGGTCAGGGCACAGCCTCAGGGAAGATACCTGAAGATCTGCTGTGACCGTCTCATAAGGAAAAGTCAGTCCTTCCTATCAGTGAGTGGAGTGGCTTAGCTTAAGTGTATAATGCTTAAGGCCCAGCCCCTGTCACCCCCCTTACCCCCAAAACTGCTTAAGTGTAAAATTGTCTGTTACTGTCCTACAGGAAAAGTTACTGGGTTTAATGTCACTGCCAACCAAAGAACAGTTTGAAGAACTGAAAAGGAAAAGGAAGCAGGACTTGGAACAGAAGAGGACCATGGAAAGACAGGTGCATGGCACTCAGACACCCAGTAGCTATTGTCTCCCTGCTTTCATACCCCACCCCTCTGCTGCTGAGTCTTTCTCAAGCTGGCTTCTGTTATGGCCTTAGAATAATAGTTGTTTTTCCTGATGATGCTCTCCTGCCTAGACCACCACAGGGAATGACAATTTTCCCTTTGGTAGGCTTGCAGGCAAGTTCTAGAAGACCTTGGAATGTGCACTGTTAAACAGAAAACAGCAGGTGTGGTGGTACATGCCTGGATTCCAGACTAGCCTGGGCTGCATAGTAAGGCCATGTCATTTATTAAAAAAAAAAAAAAAAAGATAGTGCTGTTTCATAGTTTGGTGATAGAATGCTTGCTTAGCATGCTTGAGGCCCGGGGTTCTATCCCCAGCACCATAAAAAACAAAATGAAAACATAAAACAATGTGTTCTTTAGTATCATCTGAAATGCTTGCTTTATGTAGATAAGGGTGGCAGTCTTTGAAAGTTTAAGTGTACAACCAGTGAAACTAAGTTTGAAAAAAACGTCTGGAATTAGGTTTTATTTTTAAAAATCTAAGCCTGCCCTTCTGTGACTACCTTGTTTCAGCAGTTGAATTATCTTAGTGTTGTGGGAACCATGGAAGGTGGCAGACAGGAAGGATTGCTGGCCTGGTGACCATGGTGACCCTGGTGGTGTGTGCTATCTCTGCAGGCTGTTCTGGAGGCCCGGAGGAAGCTGGAGGAAAAGCAGAGTGGTCTTGCAGCCAATGGGGAAGCGAGGTGTCTCACAGGCATCCCTGCTCCCTTGCGAAAAGCTGAGGGCTGGCTTCCCCTGTCCGAAGGTCAGGGACAGAGTGAAGACCCTGACCCTCTCCTCCAGCAAATCTACAACATCATGTCCTTCATCAGGCAGGCCAAGGCTGCAGGCCGCACGGATGAGGTGCGCACACTTCAGGAGAACTTGAGGCAGCTGCAGGATGAGTATGATCAGCAGCAAACTGAGAAGGCCATTGAGCTGTCCCGGAGGCAGGCTGAGGAGGAGGAGCTGCAGCGAGAGCAGCTGCAGATGCTCCGCAGGCGGGAACTGCAGCGAGAACAGGAGCAGTTCCTGGCGGCATCCCTGCACACACGGACTCGTGCTCTAGATCTCCGAGAAGTCATACCCTTCCAGTTGGAGTCCAGCCGAGGGCCTCACAGTGATCTTGCCCGTGTCTTGGATCAGGACTCCTCACCAGTTCAGGGCAGCACTGCTGCTGATACCGTGTCACCTGGTTCAGCTCTGGCACCCATCCACTTGTGGTCTGGGCCCCCAGCCCATGACCAGGAATTACTCCTCCAGAACACCATGTCACAACAAAGTGGTAAGATCTCTCTCAACCCGTTTGATGAAGAAGACCTCTCCAGCCCTGCAGAGGGTACTGCCAGCCCTGCTGCTGCAGATTCTTTCCTGGGCTCTTCAGCTCCCGTCACCAAAGAATACAATCCTTTTGAGGAAGATGCTGAGGAAGAGGAAGCAGGAGAGTTGGGAACAGGGAATCCCTTCACTGACCCAAATAGTCCATCACCCAACCCCTTTGATGAGGATGACCATCCCAGGCCTGCCAGCCCACCTGCCCCTGGAAACCCTTTTGAGGAGTGCCCCTGCATCAACCCCTTCGAGGTGGACAGTGACAGTGGCACAGAGGCTGAGGAGCACATTGAGGAGGAGCTGCTCCTGCAGCAGATTGACAACATCAAGGCTTACATCTTTGATGCCAAGCAATGTGGTCGAATGGATGAGGTTGAGGTGCTGACAGAGAACCTTCGGGAGCTGAAGTGTACCCTGGCTAAGCAGAAGGGGGGCCCTAACTGACAGCAGTGGGCAGGGACTGGGCAGCAGGGTACCAAGGGGGAGGAGGAGATAGGTGGCCATCTGGATGCACACAGTGAGGGGTGGGAACAATAGTCTCTTGCTGTGCACTTTGAGGCGTTTCCACTATAGTTGAACAAGAACAGAAAACAAATAGGCATTCATTTGCTAGTTTTTCTGTATTATTATTATTTTTTAACAGAGTGTTCCCTTTTCAGGGGACGTTACCATTTTATTTCTGAGATACAGCTCAGTGCATCTCTGTTGGGCCAAGGCAGAATGCCTGCTGGGCACCTCTTGGTCCGTTTCATGCTGACTATTCTTGGTCTTGATGCAGTATTATAGGTCAGCCCTTCACGGGCCTCTTCCTGTAGCCAAGACAGGTAGGGACTCTAGCAGAAGTCTCTCAGTTTGACTGCTCCTTTCACCACCTCCCTTCTTGGGCTGTCTCCTGGACACTTAGGGAGATGGCTGCTCTGAAGGGAAGTCCGGACCAGGGGGCCTAGTGCCTCTTTTATGAATGGCGGGGATGTTGCCAGTGTTGTCCCCTCCCAGTTAAAGGAAGTAAAGTTTCCAAGTGTAGGGGTGTCAGTGTGAGCTTGATGATGAGATAGGAGTGACCAGCTTTTTGGTGGATGTTATGGTTTGGCAGAATGGCCACTCTCTAGGTCACATTGAAGGGCCTGTGGTATGGAGTATCAGCAGCAGATGGAGTACTTCTGAATCAGGAGATAAATTCCAGTAACTTCAAAGACTCTCCAGTCAGGGTTCTTCACTGTGATTCATCCATACCTGGGAAACTAATGGTGTTTTCTTTCTCCTTTGAGTACTGAGAAAGAGAAATATTTGATACACAGTCTCAGATCATTCCATAGTCCTGAAGTACTTGAACTCTGATTGGGACAGAAAGGGAAATTATGTAGCTTAGTGCTTTGGTTTACAGGAACAGATGGCTTGACAGATGACATTGTGAGATCTTAGTGTGCTGAGCTCTGTGTAGTCTCTTCAGAGATGCTCTTTAGTTAATGGACAATAACTGACCACTAGTCACTTTACCCCTGAGCCATAGTTTCTGTTGGTTATTGGTGTAGGCTGAAATTCTTTTGTCACATTCTGGTGAAGATCTATCTTGGTGGTAAGATTGGCATCTAGTGCAAAGAACTCTATTTTGGCAGCTGTTCATTAGTACCTGTTGGGGTTTGATTGGGTAGAAAGTCCCGTTTGGGGCTGTGGGGAGGGTTGGAGAAGGAGGGTAATGGAGAAGAACTCTTTGGGTTCTGTCAGCAGATGTTTACTGAACTATGAGTGTATTACCGCTAGTCAGTTGCTAGCTCTGGTGGTGTCTTGGGTTGTTCTGGGAGGTGGGCATCCTGGCATCCTGGGCAAGCCTCTTCCCTTGCTAAGGCCCTGGCTCTAGATGCTGTTGCCCTTGGGTTCCAGACATGGCCAGCATATCCCCCCTGCTTGGACTGCCTTTTGTCTGAAGGAAGAAGAGGCAGCTCTCTACACAGAATGAAGCTAAATACTGGTCCCCACAGCCACTTTTCCTGACATAGATCATGTGTTCAGGGTGGTATGGCTGTAGACATTGCTTTTCTTAATTAACTGGTGACTCACTAAATATACTCCTTTCCTGAACTCACCTCCAGGTAGCAGTCTGTGACTGAGATCATGGAGAAAGCAGATGCTTCTAACAACTATCTCAATTCACTGAATATTAAACCAAGTAAACAGACCCCAGAGGTTTCACTGAGTTTCTCATTGAATTCCTCTTTGACCATACTCTGTAAGTAGGATATGACGGAGATTTGTCTACCCTTTGGCTGTATTACTTCCTACAATTTATGTAGGCCAACCATATGTAGGTATGGTTTGCAGAGGGGTTTGGCCTGTGAATGTAACTACACAGTGTACCTTGTGTGAATACCTGATGATTCCAGAGGTGCTTCAAGGGAAACAGCTCCACCTGCTCAATGAAGGAGCGCTTCCTTGATAGGAAGTTGGCAGGTCCCATAGATGGAGGTCACATTCATCTGTGGAAGGGCTTCTGACTTTGTCCCCTTCTAACACACTGCACTTACTGCTCATCATGTCTTTGTTATCAGATGCTAAACCGTCGTCCTTTTAAGTCATCATGAGCCATGTGACATAGCTAGGCCATTTAATTCAAATTGAGAAGTTGGTCTCTGTACTAGGTTAGACTGGAGGAACAGGTATGTTGATAATAATGGTGGCTGTCAGCTTGATGGTCATCATTGATGCGCATGCACTACACTGGGGCCTTGTATCAGAGGCTTCTATTAAAAAAGTAAAATAACATGTATGTGTTTTATTAAAAAATAACACGTTTGTGGTTGGGTGTGTGTGTTCTTAAAACGTCCCTCCATCCCCTGTAGTGATATATTATTTATGATTTATTAAAGCTTGGCTGAGGGTCAGATAAGCAAAGCAGCCTGCCACTACCTCTTACCTCTACTTCAGGCTATCCTTTCCTCAGCGTGGCTGGAGAATAAAACTCTGAGAATGACTTTGTTTCTTCCTTTTATACCTCTCAAATCCTGGGATTACGTGTGTGATATCGTCTCTTTTCCTGCTGTTCCCAAGGGGCAGACAGGACATTTCCCGTCTCCCTCTCCTCTTCTGACTTTTCTTTGTCTCTGTGTCTCTTTACTTCTTTTCTCTTTCCTTCCCTCCCCCTTCCCTTTCTAATAAAGCTTCTAACAACAACAAAGTGTGTGATCTCAAATGCTGAGATCACCTTTGTGTGGACTGTTTCTCTTTAGGAATGTATCAATTTCATGTAGTTCAGTGTGGCCTTAAACAGAGATCTGTCTTCATCTGTCTCCCGAGTGATGGGATTAAAGATGTGTGCTATCACTGCCTAGCTCCATGGCTTGGTAGTACAGCTGCTGGGATTAAAGGTTTGTTATCACCATTGCTTGGCTCTGTGGCTTGTGGCTAGCTTTGCTTTCTGTACCATCAAGCAAGGTTTAATAAATCATAAGAAATACAGTCCCCATTTTGTGTGTATGTAGTGTTTGCATATGCACATGGAGGCCAGAGGACAACCTTGGGTATTTGTCTTAGGAAAGCCATCCACCTTTTAGGTGGAGTTTCTCATCCTGAAGCTCTCCAGTTAGGCTAGACTGGCTGATGATCATCCCCTCCCCAGCCCTGGGATTACAAATGCATATAACCACGATCAACATGTTTGTGGGTTCTGAGGATTGAGCTCAGGTCCTTGTATTGCAAAGTGAGCACTAAAGGAGCTGTTTTACACAACAGCCCAGCTCCCTGTCTAGTTCTATCGTCCCCTTTCCCACAGAAACTGAGGGTTTCTGGCAGTCATGTGAAGCTGGCCTTCCTCTTAGAAGCTTTTTTCTCTGTCCCCTTCTAACATACTAAGGACCCGTTGCAGTCCGGTCCCCACTTCCCACCAGAAACAGGCTGAGGTGGGGAACCTGGGACTTCCCACTTACCCCAGCTCTGCCAGGAGGACTTTGTGTTACTTGACAAAGCACAGGTTGGAAACTCATGACTCACTTGGCCGTCAGTACCAAGGAGAGTTTAGGTTGGCTCAGGAATGGTTGAGGAGGGCTCTGCTACTATACTGGCCAAGAAGAGCAGATGAACAATCTAGAAAGAAGTTGAGTACAACTAAGTGGGTTTCTAAGGTGACTTCACATGGGCCTGGAGCCTGCTGAGGGTCTTTGTATCCAGTGCTCACTGTGGGCCAGAGTTCAGTATGATTGAGGTTCACCTCATGAATCTTCCCAGCTAACAAGCAAAGGAAGTGGTAACACTCAACTTGCTCAGGGTTGTCCCTCTGGGACCCTGCCCAGGCCTGTCTGATTCAGGACCCCAAGCCATGTGTGTAGGACACTGGGTTTTCCCGTGGCTGCAGTGTCATCTCTTGACTAGACTCTTAAGACCTGAAGCCTCCTCAGGAGCCTAGCAGAATTTTAACCACTTTAAAATTTTAGGTTAGCACTTCCGATTTTAGCTTCTTAAAAGAAGCACCTGGACAGAATGAAAACCAGTACCCTTTCTAGGGATCACTAGGGGATAGATTTGCAGGGCTTAATGTCCTCCCAACATCTGGAACAGTGAGTTCAGAGTCAGCCAAGCTCTGATGGCTGCAGCAGAAGCCACAACTGGTAGGAATGCCAACAGTAGCTTTTTTGTCTGTTGTTGCAGGGCTGTGATTGAGGATAGGGCCTTGTACCAGGCATGTACTCTGCTACTAAGCTATATTTTAACTCTTTATTTTTAGGCAGGGTCTTGCTAAATTCCCTGAGATGGCTTTGAATTCACTTTGTATCCATACAGTCCTTGAACTTAGGATCCTCTGCCTCCATCTCCAGAGTTTCTGGGATCACATGTCTGTACTGACCAAGCCTGGCAGATAGCCTTGACAAACCCTGGAGGCTGACTGTCCACCAGGCACAGTGAGGCCTTGCTTCCTGAGAAGGCTGCTCCTATTGGTTCTAGTGGTGAGGACTCCTACAGCTATGGCAAAGGAAGTGCCTGCTGCATTCTTGCAGTATGTTCAAGGAGTTTACCCTTTTCCTCTTCAGACAAGATCTTGCTGTGGAGTCCTGACTGAAGCTTAGTGATGCACTTACACACGTGCAGGCAAAACACTCAAAGGAAATAAATCTATAACAGCTGGGCGCTGGGGAGATGGTTCAGTGGGTAAGAATGCTTGCTCCACAAACATGGGGCCCTGAGTTTAGATCCTAGCATCCATGTAAAAAAATCTAGTCCAGGTCAGTTGTGCCTGTAACCCCAGAAGTGTGGGTTATCCCAATTGCTGGAGCTTGTGGCCACCAACCTAGCAACAGCTCCAGGATCAGTGAAAAACCTCGTCTCAAGGAGAGAGGCAGAAATAGAACTGGACACTTGTCTTCCCCCAGCCTCCATATGTGTGAATGGGAGGTCCCCAGAGCAGTTGGATTATGTGAGCAGAGGTGAAAACACTAAATAACCCCCCCATACTAGAAATAAAATACTGTAATGAGCTTATCAGTAGAATCTATGAAACAGGGAAGTCAGTGCAGATGCAAAAAACAAAGTCTAAAATGGAATGGGGTGGGGCAGGAGAGTTTTTGTTAAAACATAAAACATGTGCCTATAATCCCAGCACTTGGGAGTCTGCAGAGAAAGGAGGATCAGGGCTTCAAGTCTAACCTGGGATACATGAGTTCCAGTCTCAAACCAAAAAAAAAAAAAAAAAAAAAAAAAAAAAAAAAAAAATGAATGATACACTCACAGAGAACACAAATCAGAGCAAATACTAAAACTATCTGCATACCTGAAACTATGTTAAGCTAAGCACAAAGGAAAAATCTTGGGAAGCCAAAAAAAAATTTGTTTCACTCATGAATAATGATTAAAATTACAGGTGATAGATAGTATGTGGGACTGGAAAAATGGGTCAGCAGTTAAGTACACTTGCTGCTCTTGAAGACCTAGGTTCAGTTTCCAGGGTCCACAAGCAGCACACAACCATGTGTAACGCCAATTTCAGGGGGTCTGACACTCCCTACTGGCCTCTGCGGACGTTGCACGCACATGATCCATAGAACACACAGGCAAGACACTAAGATAAAAATTACAGCGCTGAGTGACATATTGTTGACTAGCCGTCCTATAGTGCAGTATAGTCACAGAGACTCTTTACAAGTAAATGAGAAAGACCCGTCCTCTGAGCAGAGTCCTTCAGAGCCAACCTGGACGCGCCAAAGCAAGCCACATTCTTTCCTCCTTTGCAAATCAGTTTTTTAAAAAATTGTATTTATGTTTTATGTACGAGTGCTCTGCAAGCCAGAAGAGGGCACCAGATCCTATTATACATGGTTGTGAGCCAGGTGGTTGCTGTGAATTGAACTCAGAACCTTTAGAAGAGCAGCAAGTACCCACTGAGCCCTCCAGTACTGCAAATTTTGGGTTTGGTTTTTTTTTTTTTTTTTTTGTTCGAGACAGGGTTTCTCTGTGGCTTTGGAGGCTGTCCTGGAATTTACTCTGTAGACCAGGCTGGTCCGCCTGCCTCTGCCTTCTGAGTCCTCGGTTTAAAGGAGTGTGCCACCACCACCCGGCTTGTTTTTGTTTTTAAGGATTTTTATTGACTTAACAGCAGCTTCTCGGTCGAGCTCTTCATTTCAGAATTGGATATCTCGGGAAAGGACACTTGGTTTCTGAAAGGGCAAAATGACCGGTTGACTTCCAGTGCCGGAGCGTTTAAGGCCCCTGGCCGAGACTACGAGTCCCAGGCTGCCTTGCGGCTGTGTGGCCTGCCGGGAGGCGCCTCCAAAGATTCTGCGCGCTGTGGAGACGCGCGGGTCCGCGGCTTGAGAAGCTGCTGTCGCCGCCATGCCGATGAAGGGTAGCTTCCCTATCCGCCGCACACTGCAGTACCTGAGTCGCGGTGACGTGATATTCAAGGACTCGGTGAAGGTCATGACAGTGAACTACAACACGCACGGGGAGCTGGGCGAAGGTGCCAGGTGAGTGTGGGTCACACCGTGCGGGGTTCAGTGAGAGGTTGACGCGGTGGAGGCCATCCTGACAGGTCCCGATAGAAACCCGAGCGCCAATCCACTCCAGGGCGGGCAGCTCGCACGGCGTGGCGCGGGCAACTTTGGCGTGGGGAGCGGAGTGGTAAGTTCCCGCACCTGTGCACACCATGGCTTGCTGCAGCTTAGGACAGCTGACGACTGTAAGGTTTCGTTGACCCGTTAACATCTCTGAGCATTGCCTTGGATCCTCCAGTACTCACTGAACCTTCGTTGAGCACCGGAAACGCCAGATTCAGTACCAGAAACCAGCCCATGTCTGTAGACAGGAGTGAGTTTGTGGGAGGAATCAGAATGAGAAGAGAGTAATTCTGGCGGAGAGTGGTCTGGCCTAGACTTCAAGGGAGCCTGAAGCTGCCTCCTAGCCTTTTTCTCTGGTCAAGCAACAGTGGATGTTGGGGTGCCGGGCCTTTTGGAAGACTGGGTGTCGGTGGACCAGATGGCTTGAGCTCTACTTTCTTGTCAGGGATTCATGCTTTTAAAACGAAGCTCCCAGGATGCAGTGATAGAACAGCTGAGGCTTCTCTCTTAATTCGTTTTTGACCTTGTGGTAGTTCGCTCAACTTCTGACCACATTTTTTAGTTGTAACACCGGAAAGTCAGAGTCTTGGAGATGGTTGAGGGAGGGGTCGGGGAGAAAAAAGTACCTGGCAGAGTGCCACAGGTCATTGGTTCTCAATAAGTACTATTCTAAGATTCTTGGTTCCAGTTTGGTTCTAATATTTGGTTATGGCTCTGGTTTGTTTGCACAAGGCTCTGTGATGGTGGGACCGCTGTCT